CCCACTTGCACATATGCACTCTCTCTAAAATAAATAACTCAATCTTTAAAAATAAATACAGAGAACAAACTGATGGTTGCCAGACATGAGGATGGGGAATGGGTAAAATAGGTGAAGGGGATTAAGAGCTACAAACTTCCAGTTATAAAATAAATAAGTCATGAAGAGGAAAAGCACAGCATAGGCATATAGTCAATGATATCGTAATAATGTTGTATGGTGACTACTTACCGAGGTGAGCATTAAGTCATGTGTGGAACTTGAATCACTGTGTGGTCCACCTGAAACGAATATAACATCATATTCAACTACGCTTCAATAATAAAAAAAACAAAAGAGAGCTAGGAGAAATGCCAGGAGTGTGTGCTGCCCTAGAAACCAAGTGGTAAAGTTGTTTCAAGGGGGAGGGATAAAGCCTAAGAACTGACCATCAGTTTTAGCAACTTGGAGGTCATTGGTGACCCTGAGTGGTCTCCAAAGTAGGGTCTGCATTCCCTAGGGGATGCCCAAAATGATTCACTGGGTGAGGGAAGGCAATATTAGAATTTCCATCTATATTTATTTGTCATTCTATCTTTTTAATTTCTATGATTATATATATTTAAAATGTATATATTAGTAGTACATGTATATAATTTATAAATATATATATATGTATTAGAGCAGTGCTCAAAAACATTTTATTGATAAAGAAAGGCAATCAGAAGGTATATAGACAAATACCTTAAGGTATCAAGGTCTTTCCTGCTTCCGAGACCTTCTCTCCTACACATCCTTACCATTAGAACCTCCCCCATCGCCTCTTCTCTACTTTCCTCTAGCTAATGGTCGGATTCCAGAGAAAGCCTCCAAGTGTCCCCTGACCCCAAACTAGGGGCACACCCCCTTGCTTTATGACCACATTGCCTCCCACACACTTACCCTGTAAGCCTGCTTTGCCAGCGACCTTCCAGATCCATTCTCCTCCCTCATTCTGCCCTCTGCCCAGGCTACATCAAGTCTCCTTAGTTCTCTGGGTTCCAGTTGGCTTTGGTCTCTTGCAGGGGACCACAGGAAAGAGAGGGAGGGCCTGATCTGTGTTCTCCCAGCCTCTCACTATAAGGTTGGCTCAGCCTGGCTGTGTGTCTGGAAGGAAGATCTCAGCTCCTCTCACGGCAAGTTTCTCTACACAGCACTCTGTGTTCTAGTATCTATTTTCTCCCCTTGTCCCTTTGGTCCTACAGACATATTTTGCTTGGTCCACTCTAGGTCTAAAAATTTGAATTTTTGCTGACACTTAGTGATTGGAATATTTGCATAAAAATTCAGATGTCTGTGGCACCTGGGTGGCTCAGATGGTTAAGCGTCTGCCTTTGGCTCAGGTCATGGCCCCAGGGTCCTGGGATCGAGCCCTGCATCGGTCTCCCTGCCTCGAGAAGTCTGCTTCTCCCTCTCCCTCTGCCGTTCCCCCTGCTTGTGCTCTCTCTGTCAAATAAATAAATAAAATCTTAAAAGAAATTTTTTTCAGATGTCTGGCTTCTCTTGAAAAAATCAGATTGGACAACACTGAGTCTACATTCCAAACAGGGACAACTGTCTGGGGTGGAGTTTGCACCTGGCCATGTACTCCTCAGGACTCCGGCATCCCCACCTACTCCCTATTGCCTTACAGTAAGCTTGCCACCCTATCCCCACTCTGGCCTCTCGAGATATTTGAGTTTGCAAGTCCTAGTTTAAGGAATGTGTTGCCCACTACACGGGACCTGTGTCAGACTCTTAACTCGATTGGGAGAAAGGGGAGGGCTACTCTCAAATGTGTCTACTCTCTCTCTCCCCTGGCAGCACACGAGAGTCCTGTCTGTGCGATTGCCATAATCACCTCCTAAACCACCAGCCTGCTCTCAGGCCCATTCGTCTATCCATTCCCCACAATGCAGCCAGAGTACTTATTCTGACACGGAAATCAGATGATCATACTCTCCCTTGAAACTGTGGACCGTCTGCCACTGTCCTACAGATAAAGGCTGCCTTTCTTGAAACCGCCTCCAAGGCCCTGGATTTTCCGACCCTGCCGACCACACAAGGCTGGTTTGGGCCCACTCCCCTCATTCTCTGTGTCCAGCATAGTGGGCTCCCCTCCCGTCCTCAAACACATAGGTCGTCCCTCGCCCAGGCCTGTGGCTCCCACGGCCACATACTGGGCCTCCCTCCTCACCTCGTGGCCGCAGCTCAAGTGTCCCTTCCCAGAAAGGCCTTGCCGTTCTCCTGCCTGTACTCCTTCCTCCCCTGGGCTGCACTTGTAATAGGGGCGTTTCTCAAAGTCTCTGTCCCTCACTGGACTGTAGGGACAGTGTCTTCTTTATTGCCTGGTGCCCAGTAGGTGCTCACCTGTGCTCACTGAACACTTGTGGAAAGAGTGGATGTGGAGACCTCGCTCTTCGTGGAAGAGCAGTTTCTGCCACTTAGCAACCATTCCGAATACCAGGGCTTTTTAAAATGTGTTCTATGATTATCCATTTATGTGGATATCCAAGCATGGCAATAGTCTGATTTAACACAAAGTGGAGGGAGCAGGTGGGGAGGAGCGTGAGGCCCCGGGGTGCCCAGGGCGCAGAGTTTAAAGAAGTCCCCCACCTCCCAGCTCCTCTCCTGTCCTACTCTGGTCCTACCCTGGGACGGCAGCCTTGCCAAGAACCACTCAAACATAGAATAAAAATAAGACTAGGATTGCGCTCCAGGGAGGCTTGTGACATCAGCCTGACCGCACCATGACCTGGTTGTTGGGTGCTCGCAATGTGGGAGACAGTGTGTGGCCGCCAGCCAAGCAGCAGAGGGGACGCGCGCCCTCACAGAAGTCGGGGTCAGGATCGAGGGAGGCCAGCAGCGGGCTCTTCTGTAGGCCATCTGCCGGATTCAAGGATGGAGCTCTTTATTCCCGCCCTTAAAAGAGCAGCTCACCTAACAGGCTACCCAAACCAAGTTTCTGTTTCTAAGCAGGTGAAGTGAATCTTAATCCTAAACACTGAATGGTTGAAAAGCCATGAGCCGCGCAGCGGCATGCCTCCAGGCTTGGGGGCGGGGGGTGTCCGTCCCTGGGACTCTGCCTGCAGAGGTTATGTAAGCCCCAAGGGTTCTGCTCGCTTATGGCTCGTCTCCTTCTTCCCCAGTATTGCCTCCACCAGAGCAAGCGTGGTCACATCAGACGCCAGTGGACCCTGTCCCTTTCCATTCCAGAAGCGCTAATGGACCTACGTTTAATACCAACAGTGCTCCGATTTCAAACCAGCCGCATCTGTTTTCACGCCCACAACCACTGTGCCAAAGTTCTTCAAAACAGTTGTTTTGCAAGTGGGTCAAAGGGGGCCTTGCAATCCTGTTTTCCCCTTTACTTGCCCGGAAACTTCTTTCCTCACCTCATAGAAAGTCTGGTCCAATTCGAACCAAAAAATGAATTGTTTACTTTGGAATAGATTCATCATTTTCAAACATTAACCACTTTTATTACACAATTTATGTTAATTGTATAAATTAATCGTAGGAAAATTAGAGAATACAGGTAAGTAAAAAAAATTTTTAAAAACCACCCATGATCCCCTTATTGTTTTTTAAAGATTTTATTTATTATTTATTAGAGAGAGAGAGAGAGAAAGTGAGAGCGAGCACAAGCAGGGTGAAAGGCAGAGGGAGAAGCAGGCTCCCCGCCGAGCAGGGAGACCAATGCGGCACTCGATCCCAGGACCCTGGGATCATGACCTGAGCCGAAGGCAGATGCTCAACCGACTGAGCCACCCAAGCGCCCCATGATCCCCTTATTAATAAAATAACTATTATCTAAACATTTTGGTGCATAAGTTGCCAGATTTTTTTGTATGCAGATGTATATTTATATAAATGTAAATGTATGCAAATGGATACTTGTATTTTTTCTCACTTGTTCTCTATTGAACATCTCTTCATTTCAACAGATAAAGATCCACATCGTTATGTGGATAGCTGCACGGTGTACTGTTACAGAGATAGATGAACCAGACTTCATTTTAACCCTCTGTCTTGCTGGATGCTGTTCCCAATATCACAGAAGTCTTCTTCCATGTCCTGTCTTGTACACGTGTCAGATGATTTCTTTAAGATTAATTGCCAGGGGTGAAATGGCTGGGTCAAAACGTGCAGCCATTCTTAGGGCTCTCAATACATAATAGCAAACTACAGTCCAGAACGATCGGACTGGCGACCCCTCCCTCCAGCTGCGTGTCCCGCTGCGGGTCCGTCTGCTCGTGCCCTCCCTGGGACTCCGCACACGCTGAGCACCGCTGTGGCCTGCACTGTGACATTATGTGCCTGGCATGGACAAAGTCAGATAAAATATAGCCACACAGGAAGGGGTAGGAGGGGGAGACAGACAAGGAATCAACATTTATAGGCCAGTGTGCTCAGATCATCGGACAGAGAATACACAGAATCTGAATGTTCCGAGGCTAGTCCGCAAGGTTCATCAGGAGTTACCTGCATAAAGAACAGGGAAGCAGTGGTGAGCCAGGCAGAGGAAATGATCCAGATAGGGGAAAGGCCCCAGGCAGGGATGTTCAGTCCCTTTTTAGGAGGGACAAACAGTTGTGTAACAGTTGGAATGGAGCTGTGTGCGCGGTGGTGGAAACTGTGAACAGGGGTGATGCCTGAGGAGGCAGAGGGCGTGGGTTGGGTCTGACCTGGGCTAAGAAAAGAAGCTTTAACTTTATCCAGAAAAGTGGATAAAGATCAAACTGAAACTTCCTTGGCAGGCAGGAGTTGGCATCAAAATCTGTGCGTGGAAGACTCACGCTGATCCAAGGGATGAGCCCTGATCTCAACTCAAGAATTGCTGTCATCACCGCTGACAAGCTCTGTGAGCTTGGGAACAGCCATTTACCTTCTGTGTCTAGTGAAATCAAGGGGCCAATCTAGGTCCCCTCCAGTTCTAAATCTCTCTATGCACCCAGGAACACTGGCACTGCCCCTGACTTTTTTTTTTTTTTTCCTCCCAGAAAAGGTGGCCATTAAGATCCTGGACAAGACCAAGTTAGACCAGAAAACCCAACGGCTACTATCCCGTGAAATTTCCAGCATGGAAAAACTGCACCATCCCAACATCATCCGTCTGTACGAAGTTGTGGAGACCCTATCCAAGCTCCACTTGGTGATGGAGTATGCAGGAGGTGGGGAGCTCTTTGGAAAAATTAGCACAGAAGGGAAGCTCTCGGAGCCGGAAAGCAAGCTCATCTTCTCCCAGATTGTGTCTGCCGTGAAGCACATGGTGAGTGGGGGTGAGGAGTGGAGTCTTGCTCCCACACTCCGCACAGTGGGAGCATGGGCTTTGGTTCACCTGCATCCAAGCATCCTGGAAGGCTTTAGTCCTGTGAGGGCTGACAGGAGTCCCTTCTGTGAGAGTCCAAAGCTTGGATGAGATCACACTCTCAGCCTCTGAAGCAACGCCCAGGTATCTCCAGTTACACGGCAGCCTCCTGGCTTCTGAGGCAGTTGGCAGGAGTCACTCCGAGTAGTGGGATGACCCTCACCAGGCCCTGGCCACAGCCATTCCTCCACACCCATCCTCCATTACCAGAGAGCTGGCTCCTCACTGCTGCTTGGCCCTGTCTACCTGCCTGTGTGTGTAGGATGCTCTCTCCCCTCTTACCGTGTCTCACATTCCAAATCCTATCCACCCTTCATGTCCCTGCTCAGCTGTCTCTGTCTGGAATTTTCTTCAATCTCATGTCAGCTCACACAGACCCTTCTTGCCTTTGGTGACTCCCTCCAGCTCTGGCCGCCTCCGTGCTCAGCAGATTAACACTTGGTGATGTCATTCTTACTTTAGTTCTCCGATTATTTCTTTAGGTAAGTCTGGACTCCTAAAGCACACGCCCTAGTTCCTCCAAGAGCTGGTTCTCCTGTGCCCCCTCCGCCATTGGACATATTGTCACGCACACAGAGGAGCTTGGCACGCGGGCCTGACCGCCACCTCTGTGGCTCCATTAGTCCAGAAGTCTGGGCTGTCCTCTACCCAGTTGGCAGAAAAGACACACTTGTCTGGGGTCTGTGTGAGCTGAGAGGCTGTTTCTAGTTCGTTCCTCTGACTGGATGCTGTGGGGTGAGGCTGGGATCAATGACTTTGTGGACAAACTACTAGAGGGAAGTTAGTGACCTAGGGACCCAAGATATGCATCAGGAGAGAGAAGGGGAGGAAAAAACTTAGCAAGAGAGAAGAGCCCGACTGTAATGGCGGTGGGTGTTTCAGACCTGAGGTGCCACGGGTTGGCATTCAAGTGGTCCTGTGCTGCCGTGAACTTTCCCAGGGCCAGGGAGCAGGCAGGACCCACATCGAGCAATAGAACAGATGGGAAGAGTCTTCCACATCCTCCGTAGAAAAGAAATTGGGCGGGAGAGCAGAAGAGAATCAGGCTGAGTCCTCTGCAGCTTGTGCCCTGACGTTTCTCCCAGCTACCTGGTCTCTGAGGAGAGGAAGAGAGAATCATGGCTGTAGATCCAGGGTCCACGGAGTGTGTTGACTCCGTGCCAGGCCCTTGCTGAGCACTTGCAGATACAGCACCACCCGCCCTCCTCACAGCGATCTTGGGAGGTGGCCGTCGGTATGTCATCTTACAAAGAAAGAAAACACATCACACAGCTGCTATTGTTGAACCTAGAATTAACCAAACCATCATGCTCCAAAGCCTGGATTCTTACCCAGAAAGCCCAGCAAAGTAACATTAAACCATCTCCCAAGAGCCCTTGGGACTAAGGAAGTCAGGGGTCCCAAGGTTGTCTGTCTGGATCCAGAACGTGAGAGTGGGGGTGGGGCATGCGCTTGCCACCCTCAGTGGGACCTGCTGCTAGAACCTTGCCGAATATAGCCTCTTTCTTTCTACTGAACTCTATAAAGATAAAGGAGACCCCGACCCCCCCAACCCCCACAAAAGAGCATGGTTGAAAAATTGGGGGAGGGTTCTAAACCTTTGGTGTTAGCCCTAGTCAAGAGACTGCTCAGCCAGAAAAGAACAGTTATGGCCTCAAATATGAAAGATTATTTTCACTGTGTTTCAGAATACGCAGTTTCAAAAGATCCAGACCTCATTTCTGGCACTAATTCCTGAGTCACATGTGTGGGACAGACTCCAACCTTTGCCCCACCGAAGAACAGAATCTTCGGTCTGTTTGGGGGCTGTGTGGGTGTGATGTTTGCTCAGGGTTAGGACAGGGCAGCTCTGGAGGTTTGCAGATCTGAGTTAAGGTGACATCCATTGAACTCCTGTTATTACCCCATCATCACCTCACTGTTTCAAGCAACTGATGCATTTATTTTTGTTTTTATGTTGGTATTATACCTTGGAAATGATGACTTTTCCCTATGTTTTCTACCACAGCATGAGAACCAAATTATTCATAGAGACCTGAAGGCAGAAAACGTATTTTATACCAATAATACTTGTGTGAAGGTGGGTGATTTTGGATTCAGCACAGTAAGTAAAAAAGGCGAAATGCTCAACACTTTCTGCGGGTCGCCTCCGTACGCTGCGCCCGAGCTTTTCCGAGACGAGCATTATGTCGGCATTTATGTGGACATCTGGGCCCTGGGGGTGCTCCTGTACTTCATGGTGACGGGCACCATGCCCTTTCGGGCAGAGACCGTGGCCAAGCTGAAGAAGAGCATCCTGGAGGGTGCATACAGCGTGCCTCCACATGTGTCCGAGCCCTGCCTCCGCCTCATCCGCGGCGTCCTCCAGCCCGTACCCACCGACAGGCACGGGATCGACTCCATCATGAACAATGAGTGGATGCAAGGGGTGCCCTACCCCACCCCTCTGGAGCCTTTCCAACTGGATCCCAAACATTTGTCTGAAACCAGCACCCTTAAAGAAGAAGAAAACGAGGTCAAAAGCACTTTGGAATATTTGGGTATTACAGAAGAGCACATCCGGAACAGCCACGGGAGAGGAGCCCGGAGCTCCATCACGGGAGTCTATCGGATCATTTTACACAGAGTCCAAAGGAAAAAGGCTTTGGAAAGTGTCCCGATAATGATACTACCAGACCCTAAAGAAAGGGACCTAAAGAAAGGGTCCCGTGTCTATAGAGGCATCAGACACACATCTAAATTTTGTTCAATTTTATAAATTGCGTTAAACTGCTGGACATTAACCAAGAGCATTGTTGCTGCTTTTAAATTTTTTCATGGACAACTTGGGTGGGGACATTTTTGTAATTTTTAAATAAATTTAAACTTAAGATATGCATTCCCCCCCCCAAAAAAAGTCTAGATTTGCTCTCTTGTTCTCAAACTCTAGCATTCATTCATTTATTTAATCAAGAAATACTTATCCAGTGCCTCCCATGGGCCAGCACTGTTCAAGGTACTGAGGAAAGAGCAAAGAATGAGCTGGGCCGGGCCCTTGCTCTCCCATGCAGTATATTCTAGGGCTGGACAAAGGCATTGACGAAAAAAAAAATGCTGTAAGAAAAACACGAGATAGTGACAGATGCTATCCAGAGAATGCAAACCGGGTCATCTGATATCAGAGGCTCACTCCCTGGGATGGGACCATTGTGAAAGGCCACGCTGAGTAGAGGACAGTCTGAGATCCGAGTAGGAAGCAGGGGTGACGCGCGGAAAGCCGGCCAGGAGCATTCTGGGCAGCTAGGGGTTCTGGACTGGGTTCCTCCCAAATAGAGCCTAGTAGCTTTTGGGGAAACAAGCCTGGAGAGGAGGGAGGGCCTGGGAGGGAAACAGGAAAAGTCCACACAAATCAGCCAGTGCTCCGGGTGGTTGGTACTCAGTCCTGCAGGATGCTCTGATGGGCCTCAGGAAAGACATCTTGGGTGTCTGACACCCAGGGTGCAAAAGGGGAAAGCACTGTCGCACCAGCTCTTGTTCACCGCTGGTCAGGAGCGGTCCCAGGCGGTCACCTGCCCTGCAGTTCCAGATTGTGTTTAAGTACTACCCCACCCCAAGGCACCACTGGAGCCCTGTTTTGGAAGAACATCTGCAGATGAGGCTGTGCGAGTGTCAGATGGGCTCCCGGAGCTTCCCACACCTTAGTGTCAGGAAAGCCCGAGGGACGGAAGAGTCCAGAGCATTGGCCCGAGACAAGATGCGGTCAAGTAGGACCTGCATGACGCTGTCCAAACTCGAGTGGAAACGGTCACGGCCTCTGGGGCTAGAGGGGAAAGTGCAGCTGAAAGGACCTGAATGGTGCCTAGCAGCTGACACAGCCCAGCCCAGGCCCCGCTCCGAGCAGTCCTCTGTTGCGTCCAAACCACTGCAGGCAGCTCCTTCAAGGCGCTGGGGCCTGGAAGGACTCCACGCAGTGGGGTGAGTCGGACAGCTTACAGGGGTGGCTCTCAGTTCCAGCGCATCAGAATCTCCTAGAGGGCTGGTGGAAACAGACCGTGAGGACCCACCCCCAGAGTTCTGATTCTGGAGCGGGGCCCAAGAATGTGCATTTCTAACAAGTTCCTAGGATGCTGCTTCTAGGGACAGACCAGGCTTCGAAGACTACAGAGCCACAGTCCGCATGCTGTAGCCGGTCCTGAGGCTGCAAACTCGTCCCTCCCTCCTTCCTTCACTCATTCTAAATTTGCCTTACCTGTGGCCAGCATTTTAGCTGGTCTAATTGGGTAGTATCATGCACACCTTTATCATCAAAGACTTGAGTCTACAAGGGTGCCTGGCTGGCTCAGTTGGTGGAGCATGGGACTCTTGATCTCGGGGTTGTGAATTCAAGCCCCATGTTTGGTGTAAAGATGACTTTTTAAAAAATCCTTAAAAAACAAAAGATTTGAGCCTTTAGTTGCCTTGCCCTTGTCAGGCCGTGTTTGCTACAATCTCTCTTCACTGGTATCCTGAGGCCCCAAAGTTAGCTCCAGGGAATCTCTTGGGTCCCGGACATACTCCTCTTTATCTCCTTATGATCATCAGGGTCAATAATCTCCACCAGTATAATAGCTCCTTTCTTTGCCTGATTGTCAACTCACACAGAGACCTCAACGTGACCATGCGATAGCCACGGATTCCAGTTCACTGGACCCTTACCGGGTCCCCTGGGGAAAGCATCCCCCGGCCCCCAGAAACCATAACCTCCGATCTAACTGACCCTGGGATGTAGGAAAGAGAAGTACCAATTCGACTGTGATGGCGAGAGAAGGCTATCCCACTTCTACCCGTTGGTGCCCAGGCCTGGGTAGCTTTGTTTAAGATTTTATTTTATTTTTTAAGATTTTATTTATTTATTTGAGAGAGGGAATGAGAGAGAGAGAGAGCATGAGAGGGGGGAGCATCAGAGGGAGAAGCAGACTGCCCGCTGAGCAGGGAGCCCGATGCGGGACTCGATCCCGGGACTCCAGGATCATGACCTGAGCCGAAGGCAGTCGCTTAACCAACTGAGCCACCC